TTTTTTGAAACATTTTAGGGCAATAAAAATTTTTGGTCGGAGTCCCCCTTTAAATTTCAAATTTCAAATATAAAACTCCTCTTACCCTGATCACTTCGATTATTCGGTCGTCTGAGCAGTGCGGGCAAATCTCCCTCAATTGTGCCAGTGCATATGCGAGCGCTTCGTCCTCCGTCATCTGCTTTTCACCTTCTTGTACCATGTTCCAGTTAACTGCAAAAAAAAGGATTTATTATTTTGACTAAAAAACAAAATTCAGAGAGAAAACACTGAAAAAAGAGGCAAACGCTTGAAATTTCCACGATAAAGAATATAGGAAAAAGAACTGGGCGGCGCGCGAGTCAGCAGGGTTTCTGTTGACGCGCCCGCTGAGCGCGCAAAGCCCGTTGTAAAAAGAAACGACGGCAGGCAGCGGAGTGTCGTTGTTTGGCCCGTTTCTTAGGTGAAAAAGATCAAAAACAAGTCAGAAATTAGACAGTAGAACTTTTCTTCCAGAATCAATAATTTCGAGGGTACGATGAATTCGAACTTTCCCGAAATCGAACTGTCCCGAAATCGAACTCGTTCGAATTAGAACTGTCCCTTTTTCGAACACGCCCAGAACAGAACAAGAACAGAATCGAACTGCTACGAATTCGAACTATGCGGTGTCGAACTGTCCCGGATTGGAACTCTGTTAGCAACAGGGCGCGCTTGCTTTTTTTAATTATTTTTGTCAACAAATTTTGCATGTTTTCTCCAGAAAAGGACTTTTTTCACTTATTTTGGATGTTTTGCGGATTTCTCTTCCCGTATCGATCGAGAATATAAACTTTTACAGAAAATGGCTCCTCGTAAAAACAAGCCGATCGTCCAAGTTCAAGGATATGCAATGCGATTCAAAAAAATGAACAAAAATGGAACAGAGCTTTTTTACTGTGTCGAGCGGTAAAAAATTACAGCTTTACTATAAAACAATATTTTTCCCAGAGAAAGACGAGCTCGATGTTATGCAGCTTATCATTACGACAAAATGAACAACACGTTCACTGTTAAAAATCAGCATGCGAGACACGACGAGGATTTTGTCAGAAGTGAAGTTAGTAGTGAAGTTAGCATACAAAGATGGATTGGAATGAGTTGAAACTAAATCCGAATTTCCAGGTCTGTTTCTACTCTTGAACACCTAAATTGATTTTTTACTACACTTCAGGTCAATCGAAACAGAAAACTCACCAACGCATTGAAGGACGGGGGACTCATCAAGACGCTAATAAATCAGCCAATCCCGCCAATTATGCCTTTGACTGGTCTCAATTTATTAGACACCATCTCCGACGCCCATTCTGTTTAAAAGTCATGAATTCTTTCTTTTTTAACACATATTTTCTATTTTCAAATTGTTTTTTTCCTCACAGTATTCAAATAAAAACGTTTTTTTTGTTGTAAAAATGATTTTTTTCTGGAGAAAACTTGAAATTTTCAATGGTAATGCAAGCGCGCTCTGTTGCTAACAGAGTTCCAATTCGGGACAGTTCGACACCGAATCAGTTCGAGTTGGAACAGTTCGATTCCGTTCTTGTTCTGTTCTGGGCGTGTTCGAAAAAGGGACAGTTCTAATTCGAACGAGTTCGATTTCGGGACAGTTCGATTTCGGGAAAGTTCGAATTCATCGTACCCTCATAATTTCTTCCAGAATCAATATTTTCAAACCATCTGAATAAGATATGATAGAACTCGACGAGTACTGCGAAATGGTACTATTTTTAAAAAAACTTTATCTTGTTTGTGTTACAGGCGAAATAGAGCAAAAAAAAGCAGGCCCCGCCCGGCCCGGTTCGGGATGTTCGGGAAAAGCACTTTATGGCCTGTAACTTCGTTCATAGACAATATACAGTTTTCCAAATAGTATCATTTTGTAGTATATTGATTCTGGAAGAAATTATTGCAGGGCCCGCGAAGGAATCAACTTTTATGACCGGTACTGTAGGTTTACATTGAATAGAAAAGTATTTTATTGAACAAACAAAACCTAAAAAATTTCAAGTGGCTGCAGCAGCATTCCTCGCCTCCAACTTCGCAGCTTTATCATTCATATGCTTGATGAAGAGTTCTCGAAGCCACGTGGAATCTGAATTATACTTGGGATCGGATATTTGAAGTGCAGTTCGCTTGTAAAACGAGTAGAAGATGCACGAAATCACTTTGTGAAAAATGAAGAATATCAAAAGATGGGTCTCCAGAAAGATGTTGACTGTTTGATCTTCCCATGTGGAACTCTGAAAAAATATACTTGAAAATGTGTGTTGACCTGGAGAGCTAACTTACCAAGCTTGTATAATGATATCCAATAGATACAAAAGTGTAGAAAATTGACATAATTATTGTTGGCAAGAATTGGACAAGAACGATATGAATGAGACCCAATTGGAAGACAAATGTGGCGGTGAAGGAGACGAATAATACCAAGGAGGACATTATTAGAAGGGTGTCTTGGAGTCTGAAAATATTTTTTATAGTTGATTTTGATATTTACCGTAAAACCTGGATTAAAAGGGCCCTTGAAAATAAAGTGCTCCCTCTAATTGAAAGGCTCCTCTATTTGAAGTACACCCCTCTTAACCTACATATAAATCAGAAGCAATGCCATATTGTCTCCATAACATAGAATTGATAGGGCGTTGAAGAATATATCAATTGTTAGCATTAGAAATTGGGTTGTTAGAACGTATGGGTATTTGGATGTCATTGAAGAATCTGAAAAAAAACAAGGAAATACGGAAATCCTTTTATGAGGACAAGATTGAAAAAATTTGAAAGAAAAGTTTTTTTAAAAGAATACCGTTACCACTTTAATTGCATCCTCCCACAGATTATTAAACTTTGAGCTTATATATCTCATTTTCTGTAAACGATATCAAAAAATTAGCAACTGATAAAATTTTACTGATGATATGATAAACGTTTTATCAGTTAACCACTTTTTGATAGCTTTCAAAGGAACCGAGATAATTGAACTCGAATTTGGGTAGGCTATTATTAGAGGGAATATGATAAGTCAACTTTGAGCTCATATATCTCGTTTCCTGTGAAAGTTATCAAAATTCTGTCAACTGATAAAATGTTACTGGTAACATGATAAACGTTTAATTAATTGATCACTTTTTGATAGCTCTCATAGGAACCGAGATAAATTTGTTCAAAGTTAAAAATCAGGCGGGGAGGGATAGACTGTTTACCATACATGTGGATGGCCGGGCCGGGCCGGCCCGCTTGCCTCAAAACCCTCGGCCCGCCCAAAACAACTTTTAGAAAATGTTACTTTTCAAATGTGCCAATATATTTTTAATAGCACAAATATTAATCCAAATGCATACAACCATCCGAAAAAGTCAATTTAAAGGTGGGGGGACAGGAGATTTTTCGTAGTTTTTTTGTAGCTAGAGTATGCATTCTACCGTCACGGTGTACAACGCTTAATGTCACTCTGCGTACATCTGTCGTCCTCGCCTTTATGTATGTAATCGGGCGGCCGCTTTCTCTTCGCCCGCGTGGCTCAGTCGGTAGCGGCGCCGCACCCTCAATCATCGCCCTCACAAGTTCAACTCCTCGAGGGGCATCTTTGAACGGAATTTCGAGAACATTATTTTTTTCATGTCCCCCCACCTTTAATTGAATTTTTAGCAAAAAAATCAAACTTCATTAAGCCAAGGATGAAATTTTTTCTACAAACGACCTCAAAACAGTTTTTTTTTTGACAGAATCGTCCTCTAGTGTGGATTTTTATTTATTAAGGAGAAAATCCATCTTGAAAAATGATGATTTGCTCTAAAATTTCAAAATTTTCAAAAAGCGGGCCGGCCACACTTGGGTTCAAGCGAGGGGGTCAGAAAGAGCGCCCCAGTAAATTTAGGAAAAATTCTAAATTCGCTGCCGAATTTCGTTGGCTGAGTTTCACAGTTTTAAATGAAGAGCGAAAAAGCGCGCCTTGCAACCAGTTGATTTTGAAGAAATATATCATGATCTAGATCAAACCCGCGTCCAATTTAAAATTATTAAATTTCTTCTGGCCTACGAGTTTGCTGGGGCGCGCTTTCTGACCCCCTCGCTTGAACCCCAGTGCGGCCATGTGTAATTTTTTCCGGCCCGGCCCGGCCCGGCTCGGTCCGGCCCACGGGCCGGCCATCTTTTCCACAAGTATGATGTTTACGGCTTGACGAATTTTCGGATCTGAAAATTTCAGACTGAAACAAATCATGAATGATTTGATAATCAAAAATCGCAAATTCAGCCTATTAAACGGATAGCTGCCAATAAGGACCTACGGAACTGAAAAACCCCCTAAATTTCCCATTTCTATGTAAATTTTGCCATTTTCAGTGCCTACATTAAAACTTTGTACTCATTGGTTTCGTCTGAAAAGTTCAGAGTATAGAGAACTAATCTCGATCTTTAATTTTGTATTTGATAACTTTTTTGTAAAATTTCTTGCGAATGGGATACGCCACGTGGAACATGATGAGTCGGAAGTGTATAAATTTGAGATCTCTACTTAAAATGACTGAGAAAAATAAAATAAACTAATACAAATTTTAAGAAATTCTATAAAATATTTTGAGACAAGTGTATTCCATAGTTTTGCAAAAAAATGTGTTTTCAACTTCTTGCCAAAATTTCTCTAGAAATCCTCAAGATGTACCACACTCTAATAGAAAGCCCCCCAAACCATCAACTTTGAGCCTATATATCTTATTTTCTGTCAAAGATATCAAAAAAAGGTCAACAGACAAAATGTTTATGATAAAATGATAAACATTTTATCAGTCGACCATTTTTTGATATCTTTTACAGAAAATAAGATATATGGGCTCAAAGTTGACAGTGTGGGGGTCTTTCATGTATTACAGTTTTTACGAAAATTTGCGAAAAGTGTATTTCATAGTTTGAATGCAATTTTTCCATATTTTTTCTAATTCCTCTATTCAGTTCTCTCCTCCAAATCAATATCTCTTCTTTCTAGAAACTTCCACACCTTGTTACTAATCTAATTGTTAATCCACACACTTCTCTCTAGCACTCTCTCGCCATCAAATAGCCAAATATAAAAAGCCACGACAAATAAGAAGCAACAGAAAAAAAAGAATCGGTCGTCTTGGAGACGCAGTATCTTTTCCATCTCAAGAAAGCATACATGTCCATAACGGAGCAAAGAGCCCCCACTCTTTTCACCCTTCCTCTCCAGTTTTCCACATCCAATCACCATGGCAACGTCCGCGCGCGCGTGCGCTCGGCGCTTCGTTTTCCATTTCGCTCCGTTTTCTTATTCTTATCCCCTCCCGCCCTTCTTTCGACTTTTCCTTTTTCTTATCCCCTACTTTTGATTTATCTCCTTCTCGCTCTGAAATCTGAAATCCGCTTTTCTGACAGCTATAAATCCTGAGGACTCCAAAAACATTAATTTCCAGGGTGTGCACACATTTCGTCATCATGTCTGATACAAACTCTGCTTGGATTGAGCAGAATCTTCAGCGACAGCGGAAGATGTTAGAGGATAAACAGAAACAAAAACGACATCAGAGTGCTGGAAGTGTTCGAACTACCACGACGACGTCTTCGATGAGCATGAATAAGTTAGTTAGGGAAGGAGAAGGGACATTCTGGGGGTTTTGAAAGTACTTAGTTGTTTGATTGGTTCAAAAAAGGGCCATCCTTCAGTAGATGGATTTACCACGTCGAAATTGGAGGACCCTGAATTGGAAAAATCAACTTTTAAGGTCAAAATCAAATGTCCAGGTCATCAGGAATTTCGAGAATTGATTTTTTTTCAAAAAATTCAATATTTTTTGCACTCAAAATCGACTCTACTCAAATTCAGACATTACAATTTTCTATCAAACCACCTGGAGTTTACAATCTCAAATCACCTGGTCGTGACATGTGTTAATTGATAGTTTGATCCATAATTTTCCAATTAGCACCAATAAAAAGTACTATGTTTCTTTGATCCTAATCATTTCCTTTCCTGTAAGAGATATCAAAAAGTTGTTAACTAATGAAATGTTTATCATAAAATCATAAATATTTTATCAGTTGACATATTACTGATATATCTCACAGGGACCTGGATAATTGAGGATAAAGGTACTGTAGAAGAATTTTCACACATTCATTTGTCCTGATGTCCAATTGTTCAAAAACTGGTACAACCTTGGCCAACGGTCCCACAACGACCCCTACCGTAACCTAAAAATATTTTTAGGTTACGTTGGTTGTCGTTGTGGGACCTTCGGCCACCGCCACCGGAGTTTTTCTTCCACAGCTCCGATTTTTTTCTAAAACTGCTGACGTGCTCACAATAACTTCACCCGGTTCAAAAAATGAAGGAATCTGAAAAATAAAGTCCTCCCCAGACACTTTTCCTGTGATTAGAGTAGAAGTGAATGAGAAATAAGTTATTCACTACTCTGACAACGAACAAAAAACCTCGTGATTTATATGAGAAAGGAGCCCAGGAGAGTTGAGGAGTCTCGCTTTTCATACTCACTAACAACAACTACTTGCTTCTGATATTAGTTTCGAATATTGTGATTTTCTAGAAAATGTCCAGAAAGTTACGAAATTTGATGTGAGTTTATGTTAAATCCTGGGCCCCTCTCTACCGTAAAACCTATAATGGGAGGGCTCCTAACTTTGACCCAATTTATCTCGGTTCCTGTGAAAGATATAAAAAGTTGTCTACTGATAAAATTTTTGTAATGTTATGATTAACAACTTATCACTTAACAACTTTTTTATATCTTTGACAGGAACCGAGATAAACTGCCTCAAAGTTAGAAGTCGTGGTCTATTGTAATCACAAACCAAACGCTATTACGCTGGCGGAATGTCTCAGAACAACAGCTACAGTAACTTTTTAAATTAAAAATATTAAAAATATTAATATATCTGATACTTATCATTGTGTTCCTGAAATTAAATGCAAAAAAATACCCCCAAGGTCTGGATTCCTGAATTTCTGAATCTTTGAAAGAATCAGTTATCTTTTTTTCGCTTTTCATTCATTTTCTCAACTTTTCCAGCATGAAAGACTACCCAGCGTTCGAAACGTCTCTTCCATTTAGCATGTCTGATCACACCTCGAACATGAACACTCCGTTGATCCCAACACCACAGGCCCCGCCCAGAAATCATACGCTGACTACTCGTCAGAGTTCAATGCCAGCAACGGATACACTTATGTGAGTTTTGCTATTTTATGAAGGCGTGGGAGCTTAGATTTTTGCGAAAGTTTAAGAATCACACAGAGGTTTGCAAAATCTGGGACTTTTCCAAAAAATCCTTATTATCAGAAAAGTGCAAGATGATAAGATGATTTATAGAAAGATTACAAACGTATATCATCTTTTGAACTTTTATGCACTTTTCGGTTTTATTTTTTGAGCAACCTAATGAGCTGCACTTTCAAAATTTGTCCGAGATCAAATTATCAACTAATGACTTCCCAAATTTGGCCGGCCGACCGACCCCCGACCAAAGTCGAGATCAAACACTTGACGCACAAATGCACAAATATTGTCTGCTCTCAGTCCGCTAGAGACTTAGTTTTTTTTTTAATTTTTGTACATTGTAGAGTAAACAATTTCTTGTAACTCAGTGGAAAAACCAACTTTCTAGGCCTTCTAGAAGCCGAGATACAGTTGTTTGAAGTTTGGAAGGTGAGAGACGCAGTGTGTCTCGTCGTCTGCGTCTCTAGCTTGCAAAACTTTGAAGAGGAGGTGTATTTCAGATTCTAAAAAACCTAGAGAGTTGGTTTTTGGATATATTTGAAAGAAGTTTTAAGCCTTATACTCTTCTGTGATATAATTTTTAAAAATCGAAAACTCCAGCCTTATCAGCCAGTTTTTCTTTTCCAGCCAAATCAACGACTACCCAGAGAACGACATTTCGGCAAAACTCTCAAAAGTCAATCTGACTCCATGCGTCGTGTCTGATGACGAGGATAGTGATCGAAGAAGCTATCGAGAGAGTCCGTGGCATAATGATATTGTCGCGGATAAGATCAAAACTGATATTCTTCCAGATTACAATTATATCAAGAACAATTTGCAAAAGTGAGTAAAAGAATCAGGTTTCTAGCGGGTCTGAGAGCCGAGATATAGCTAGGTTGTCATGATAGACGCAGACAGTTAGAAGATCTCGTGGTCTGCGGGCTCTTCTTTTGTGGCTATATCTCTGCTCCCAGTTGACCAAGTTCTGCTAACTGCAACATTCTAGATTCGTCGACGAGCCAGCTCAAGAGCACTGTCTCTACCGATGCTCAATCACTCGTCACAAAAGTGGTGTCGACAAGACCATGTATCCAACCTACTATCTTCATTTGGAAGAGATGGATACTGACAAAAAAGCCAAAATCTTCTTGCTCGCTGCTCGAAAGAGAAAGAAAAGTACGACGGCGAACTATTTGTTGAGCACGGACCCAACGAATTTGTCGAGAGAAGGAGATGGATATTGTGCAAAGGTTCGATCGAATGCGCTGGGTACTCATTTCACAATTTATGATAATGGACACAACCCTAAAAAGACTGATAATCAATTCTCGATTCGTCAGGAGCTCGCTGCGGTTATCTATGTGAGTGGAAGGTTTTGTGGGTTTTTTAGTTTGATGTCTTTCCAGGAAACCAACGTTCTCGGCTTCAAAGGACCACGTAAAATGACAGTAATCATGCCGGGAATCGAACCTGGAAACGATTCGAAGCCAGCGGTTCGGTGCATTCATCGGCCGGTTCTTGAGAAGCATACACTACTGGAGAAAAATCGAAGCGGTGATACCAACTCGTTGAAAGTCCTGACTAATAAGAGTCCACAGTGGAATGATGGTAAGAACTGAGAATTACGGAGAAAAGGAACGTTTTTGAAGTAATTGGGGATCCCTCTTTGATAGTGCAGATCCCTCTTTGATAGTGCTGTAACGTTTGAGCTCAATTATCTCGATTCCTATGAGAGATATCAAAAATGTGTCAACTGTTAAAATATTGGTGATACTATGATAAATATTTTATCAATTGACGGATTTTTGTTATCTTTTGAAAGAACCGAGATAATTTATTTTAAAAGGTGGCGTTCTATAAATCTACCATTTCCAGAAACCCAATCCTACGTGCTCAACTTCCACGGACGAGTCACCCAGGCATCGGTGAAGAACTTCCAAATCATCCATCCAAATTCTCCAGAATACATCGTCATGCAATTTGGAAGAGTCTCTGAAGACGAGTTCACCATGGATTTCAGATATCCATTGTCTGCGGTTCAAGCATTCGGAATCGCCATGACCAGTTTCCATGGAAAACTGGCTTGTGAATGAATGGGGATTCTAAAGCACGGACCTAATTTATCTCGTTTCCCGTTAAAGATACTAAAAAGTTATAAACTGGTAAAATAGTTTTGATAATGTGATGAACATTTTGTCAGTTAATTACTTTTTAATATCTCCGACAGGTGCCGAGAAAAATTGGGTCGAGGTTCTCATCATCTTTTACATTATCCCGATTTTCTCATTGTCAGTCAATTTTCTGAGTTCCACAGAGAGAGAGAGAGTTATTTTTCAACGGGTGTTTTCCCCTTATTTGAATTTCCTTTCCCCTTATTTGAAGTTGGCGGTTTGGGTGAGGTGCAAAAAAACCCGGACTTAAGTTTGTACTAGCATAACATTTGACTAAAGAGTTTCACTGTGCTCAAATTCAAATGTCGAATACTCAAATATTTCATTAGTAAACTGACCGAGTTTCAAATCGTTTGGTCAACTTTGAGCTGGGTTATCGCTTGTCAAAATTGCTTCATCTCATGAAAATCACAACGATGTGCAAGAAGCATTTCATCTTTGGACAATCATAACAATACCTGGACCTGAGAAATCGCTTTGAAAATGTCCGTAGATTTTAACCAAAATTGAAATTATATTTCTTCCAATTTTCGTGCTTCCAAGAAAATTATGTCTGAAGATATGCCCGTTTTTGTGAGCCCGGGTAATTGGCATCACCCTGTAGAAGCCCACACCATACAGGCACTTTGAGCTCAATTATCTCGGTTCCTATCAGAGATATCAAAAATCTATCAGATGCTAATTGCTTACCATAATATCACCTATATTTTATCAGTTAATCACTTTTTGATATCTCTTACAAAAATTGAGATAATTGAGCTCGTACCGTATTTGCTCTTATATAACCCTACCCGATACGTTTTCTTTGAACTCAATTATCTAAATATCCGTGAACGATATCAAAAAATTTGTCAACTGATAAACTATTTATCATGGTATCAGCAGTATTTTATGAAGAGACAGATTTTTGATATCTCTCATGGAAACCGAGATAATCAAGCTCAAAGTAAAAGTATAGGATGGCTATATATATATATTAACGCATTAATAGAGCAATCTTTCTTTTTTCTTTCAATTTACCCAAATCAAACAAATACACTGTGATTTTTATCATTTTCTTCTCCATTCTTATTTTTCTCTTCCCCTTGTTCATCATCATCATCTCCCTTACCATTCAACGATTCATCAATTGTCATAATTTCTCTTTTTTTTCTCGCTATCACCACTCAAATACAAATAAATATTCGTAATTCTCACTTTGCAATAATGGACAACTTAATATTTTCTTTTTTTTTCGTTTTGGCGGCAAAAAACGCACCGAAAGAAAGAAAAATGAAAGGTGCCGCCCTTTTGGAAATGAGTCAGATAACAATTACAAGGAACTGCTGCAGAATCTTTCATCTTTTTTCGCAATAAAAAAAGAAGAATAGGTTATTGGACAACTGAGAATAAACTGGAAAAATCTGAAAATCTCGAAAAACTGAAAAAAAAGTCTGGAATTCCTATAATCTTGGAATCTTAGAATCCCAGAATTTTAGAACTTCGGAATTTCAAAATCTCAGAATCTCTGAATCTCTGAATCCTAGACTCTTCCTGGAATCTTGGAATCCTGGAATCCTGGAATCCTGGAATCCTGGAATCTTGGAATCCTGGAATACTGGAATCCTGGAATCCTCAAGTCCTGGAATCCTGGAATCTCTGGAATTTCAGAATTTCAGAATCTTAGAACCCGGTCCCTTCCATGTTCATTATTTTCCGAACCCCCTCTCGAGATGACCATTACATTTTCAAGTGCTTTTCCAATTAGTACATACCCAATTTTTTCGACAGTTTTAGTCACGAAAAACATATTCGAAAACCGGTTTTATACGAAGATGTTATCGAAAAAAAGGTAAGAGCTTTGACTGAAAAAAAAAACTGGATGCAGCTGAAAATCGAAAAAAAAAACACACAGACTGAAAAACGAATTCTGAAACTGTAAATTGTTGTATTTTTTGTGGAAGAAACAGAAATAGGAAAAAGTCACTAACATTACTGCATTTCTTGTTTTTCTGCTTCTTCTTGACCTAATTGTAGACAGTGAAAATAAACAAAATGTAGTAGTACACGAACTGATTCTTGTTTTTTTTCGTACAGTTTTTTAATTGGTTTATTGGTTTCTCGTGGGAGGCTTTTCAGCGTGTTTCGACTGTAAAAGTGGACATCTGGACATCTGCAAAAACATGCAATTTCTTTAACTCCGGAATTTTGTGATCTTGAAACTGAGATTTTGAAATCCCGAAATTCTGAAAAACTTCAGCTTTTGAGACGCTGGAATTCGGAAATTCTAAATTTTGGAATCCTGGACAAACAGAAAAACATTTATTCGAAATCTCATCATATTATGAAAATCTAAAAACTGATATTCTCAAAATCTGACATTTTGAAATCCCCCTCCCGAGAATCCTAAATTTTAAAATTTGGATTCAGAAAGTGAAGATGAACCTGATATTCCTTGATTCTAAACTTTGAAGTTTGGAAACTTGAAAAGCTGAGAATCTGAAAATCTGGAAGTCTAAGATTCTGTGATTCTGAAAATCTGAAGATCTGAGATTGTGAAATTCTGAAATTCTGAAAAAAAATCAAGTTTAGAGAATCTCTTTTTTTTTAGTTCTGAAATTCTAAGATTTTATGTATTGAAATTAAAAAATCTGTAGTTCTAAAGTTCTAGAATTCTGAAATCGAAAAATCTGTAAGTCGGGAATTCTGAGATTATAAGATCCTGAGATTTTGCGATTCTGAGATTCAAAAAACCTTATACTCTCAGATTTTTAGATTTTCAAATTCTTAAATTCATAAATTTCAAAATTCTGAAGTTTTGAGCTTCTTAACTTATTCAATTCTAAATATTAAATTTTGAAAAGTTGAAACTTTGAAATTTCAAAACTCTAAAAAAGTCTGAAATTCAAAGTTCTGAAATGCTTTATTTTGATTTTTTAATGTATTGTTCTGAAATTCTTAAACTATTAAAATCTGAAAATCAGAAAATCTAAAAGTCTGAAATTCTGAATTTCTAAATTTTTAATATTCTGAGATTCTAAGGTTCTCCCCTTCTCTACCGTACCACAAAAAAGAACACTACTTCCTGATGTCTCGAGAAATTCAAATATATTTCTTGACCATTTTCCTCTCCTACCGTAAACAATTGATTGCTCATCGCCATTAGTTCTATGTTATATGTGGTTCTATTTGTTGTATTTGTGTTGCCCTTTTCCACGTTGCAATAATTTTCCTTTCTTTTGCTGCTCTTTTTTGCTCCGACCCCTATTGTCGAATGTCATATATATGGGGACGGTTATTGTGTCTTTTTTGTATTTGTTAGAAAAAAGTTACGGTAGACAAAAAGGTGGAAGAGAGTAGAGTAGAAATTAGTCGAAAAAGAAAACACAGGTCGTGATAAGGAACAAGGAGGAAATTCGAAAATTGTTTATTCTCTTGATTTTCAAAAAGATTTCATTAGAAACTCTAAAAGATCAGCATTTCAGAAATTCAGGAATTCAGATTCTCAGAATCGTACTTTATTTTTTCAGAATCTCAGAATCTCAGAATCTCAGAACTTCAGACTCTTAGATTTTCGGATTTTCAGAGTTTTCAGGGTTTTGAAATTTTAGAACTTCAGAATCTCAGAATTTCAGAATTTCAGAATTTCAGAATCTCAGAATCTCAGAATCTCAGAATCTCAGAATCTCAGAATCTCAGAATCTCAGAATCTCAGAATCTCAGATTTTCAGATTTTCAGAGTGTTAGAATTGCAGAATCTAAGAGTCTCAGAATCTCAGTTTTGAATTTCCGGAATTTCAAAATTTCAGAAATTTGAAACTTATTTAATTTTTTTCCAGTCTTTCTGGAATTTCGTAAGCGGATATGAGAATTTGAAACACAAAATTCCAGAAATGGTTAAGTATCTGGAAAACTTCAGAATTTGGAAAATTACTTTGTGAACCCACAAAAATAACATTTCCAGAATTTTCTTCATTACCGTAAAACCCGTTATAGAAGGGTTTTCTAACGTTTAACTTTGAGTTCATATATCTCGGCTCTTGTGCAAGATATCAAAAAGCTGTCAACTGATAAAACTTTTGTCATAATATCACAAACATTTTATCAGTTGACAAGTTTTTTATATCTTCAACAGGAGTTGAGGTACCGTAAAACCTCTAATAGAACGACACCCGGATCGTCCACTTTGAGCCTATATA